AATGGATTCGAGTGATTTTGGAGGCAGAATCAATAAGCCTCGTTGACCGGACCCTCTTTACTGAAGCTCACGGTGGGGAGATGGCATGGCCAGTGGCGCTCCTGGAATGTGGGAGAGGTGCAATTTGAGTCCAGGTCTGTGGGTACCCTGGGGTCACAGCCAATGCCTCAGTGCTCCCTGCTAGGAGGGCCCATCCTTCGGAGAGCTGCCCCAGAGATGGTCTCAGGGCGTCTGAGGACCTGCTGGGGTAATTCCCCCACTCGGGGACCTGGACTGCACCCTGGTGTCGGGCAAGGAGGAGGGCAGAAGCCAGGTTGGGGGCCTCAGAAGAGGGGCGGTCATCGTCTGCTTTCCGTGCCCTGGGCTTCTCTGGCTCTTTGCCTCCTCAGTACCTCGGCCGGGAGGCAAGGGATAGAAACAGAGTTCTGAGATCCCATCTCCATGAGGGCGTGGGATGCTAAGCAGTGTGGGGTCTTGGCAAAATCCAGGCAGAATTAATAGGTCATGCCTGTCTCCCTTGAGCCCACCTCCACCCACAGCCCCACCCCCCCACCCCCACCCGTGCTTACAGCCACGCCCAGGCTTCACTCACAGTTCACACCTTCCCTGAAGTCACTTCGCCAGCCAAGCCCAGAAGCAAGGCTCTTAGCCAGGGTCCTGGGCTAGGGTATCCCCACCTCTGTAACCTGAAGGCAGTGAGGAGGGAGGGTCAGGAATCAAAACGAAGGCTGACTGAACGCCAGCTATGTGCCAGGCTCTGGGCTGCTCACTGTCCTCAGAGTTATGGTGGCAGAAACGTTTCCCCTCCCCTCTTGCCCCTAAAATAAGGCCCACACAGACTTTCTTCTATACACGTGCTCCCACACACGCAGAGATTTTTTTAAATAAAAAATAGATGAGGTTAAGCATTCTATGCGGATTATATCATTTCATAATAGGTACAGTAATGGTCTCCACTATACATTTACTTACCTTTTTTATTTTTTCATTTTTATTTTTTAAAGATTTTATTTATTTATTTGACAGAGAGAGACAGAGAGTGGAGGGGAGTGGAAGAGGGAGAAGCAGGCTTCCCGCTGAGCCGAGAGCCTGATGCAGGGCCTGATCCCAGGACCCTGGGATCATGACCTGAGCCAAAGGCAGATGCTTAACCAACTGAGCCGCCCAGGGGCCTCCTTATTTACCTTTTTAAAAAGATTTTATTTATTTTGAGAGAGAGAGAGTGAGTGCATGACACCAGGTTGGGAAGCAAGGCAGAGAGAGATGGAGGGAGAGAAACTCAAGCAGATTCCATGCTGAGTATGGAACCCAATGGGAGGCTCGAACTCACGACCCTGAGATCATGACCTGAGCTGAAATCAAGAGTCAGATGCTCAACCGACTGAGCCACCCAGGCACCCCTACATGTTGCATTTAAACCGGAGGCTCAGAGAGGTTATGCACTTTTCCTAAGGTCACACAGGCGGTACCCCTGCTTGGCCGCACAGCTCACTCTGCATCCTAAGCATCCCCTACGTCTGGCCAAGGGCTGGTTTTGTCCCCCTTGGGGACATTTGGGGTTGCAGGCCAGGCAGGGTTGGAACTCTGGGCCAGAGGCCTGATCTGGCTATCCATCTGGCTGCACTGGGAGACACAAGCCCTGGGGTCAAATTCCAGCCCCAGGAGTCCTTGTTAAGGCTTAAAAACATGGGGCTATATTGCCATTTAATTGTGGCTCTGCCCTTGAAGTCTACCCCCAGGTTTCAAGGTTCTCAGGTGTCTGGAATAGACAGGCTTGTCTTGGATTTACCTCCCCGACAGCCCAGGGGAGAGAGGAAATCTGGGGGGGTCTGAGACCTGGCCCCTCACCCGCTGTATCCCCCAGCCTTTCTCCACCTGGATCTTCTTATCTGGTCTAAAGCTCCTCGCAGCCTCCAATTTTTCCCCTCATCAAGGAAGCAGGGGTGGGGGGACCAGGTCTGAAGCTTGCTGGGTGAGGGTAGGGGTGGGGAGGAGAAGAGGAAGAGTCAGAGTCCAGCAGAGGCTCTGAGGCAGGATAGGATGTAGAGTTCGGAAGGGACCGGGGTAGAGTTAACAGATTCTGGAATCTCTAGGCAGGAGTTCAAATCCCTGCAGAGCAGCTAGGCCCTGGGCCCGTGCTCAGAAGAGTCCATTACCGGTTTTGTGTTCCCACTGCTGTCTCGAAATTCTTAATTTTTAAAATCAAGAGCACCTCACCTTCAGGTCGCACTAGGCTCCATGAATTATGGAGCCAATCCTGCCACCAGAGATGAGCCCGGCCTTGGCAAGTTCCTTTGCCCCGTAGATGCTCAGTGTTCTCCTCTGCAAAATGGAGCCATGCTTCCACGAACTTGGAGGAACTTCTCGAAAAGTAAATGAGAGACTTCAGGTAAAGCGCCAGGCGGCAGGAGACGATCGCGGTCAGCCCCTGGTAATCGCAGACGGTCGCTCTTTAAGGCCTGGTAGGGAGACGTATTTCCAGAACTGCCACAGTTAGTCTCCCAGCCTGGGGTGGGTGTGGGACCCTTGAGGCCAAAAATAAAATCCTTACTGGGAAGTAAATTGTTCCACCAACCCCACAACCCCCTGCCTGTGTCCATACTGGGTCCAGTGGTTTAGGGCTGAAACGAGATGGAGATGTGGTCCTAGGGTTTTTGAGCCCAGAGAGAGAGGTCTGACCAGGCGGCTCCTGCGTCTGCCTAGGGCTGGGGGGTGGGGGGTGGGGAGCATCTGCCCTTGACAGAGGCACTAATGGGGTCTCTCTGGGAGCAGCCCCCTCACCCTATGTGCCCGCTTGTGGGATCCCCACTGGATCAGCATCCAAGTCCCAGCAGCCCACCCTCCCAGACTTTGTAGATTAACAGCTCAGCTCAGCAGTTTCCCAACAGCAAGGCCTCAGGCAAGTTTCTCTCTGGGCCTCAGTTTCCCCACTGGGGAAGAACCGCTTGGCCTCGTGGCATGCTGCCCGACATTGAGCCCTGCATGGAAAGCACTTAGAAGTGTCCTGACAATACTCACCCCCACTCCGAGCCCGAGGGCACGCTCCAAAATGTAGATCTGACCAGGCCACTCCTTCAGCGGAGCCCAGACTCCCCGGGGCCTCCCTGGGCCTCGGTATCCTGCTCACCCGCTTGGCACCCACTTCCCAGCCTCCAGCCAAAGGGCCCGGGATTTGCTCTGGGAAACTTCCAGCCCCCAAAGCAGCGCCTATGATGTGACTGTTCGTCAAGCTGAGGAGCGGGCACATGACGAGGCTCAGCCAATCGGGTGCCTTCTCTAAGGCCCTTGCTTCTTGGGTATGAAGGCGCCGATGGCAAGGGGTAGGGGAGGGTTCGTTTTGGGAGGTACCCCCCTGGGTTCCCGCTGCCTGGATCTCAGGGCTGCCCTGGGCCCTCGGGCTCCACGGGCCTGGGTCTTCGGCTCTTCTGACTCTGTGGCCTCCCTCGTACCTGTCCCGCGGCCGTCGTTGCCCAGAGAAGCCTGTTCGTTTCCGTCGCAGGCACGCGGAGAGCCCGGCCCGTACACCTGGACGGCTTCTCCGGTGGCAGCCACACCACCCTCTCCCTGCCCTTCTCCTCTACGCATCTGCCTGTAGCTCCCACAGGCCACGGATGCTATTTGGTGCCTCTGAACTTTCCCAGCTGTTTCTCCGCCGGGATGACACTTCCCGGCTCCTTCTTATCCTCAGGGACCACCTCCGACATTGTCAACTCGGTGAGGACTTCCTCCAGCCCTCCTCCCCTCCCCAGGCGGGTTCGGACTCTGGACGACCCTGGACCGCAGACCTCTGTGGGTACCGGGTGTCCCCACGCACGAACGGGGCGCTAACCTTCATGCCTCCGCTGAAGCTCCTCAAATGTTCCAGAGGTTCTAGGACCGTGGAGGGCCGACCGCTCCCTTGAGACCTGCTCAGGGACTCCTGGGCCGGCAGGGACTGGCTCTGTCGCCCGCTGATGTGTGGGCCCCAGTATAGGTCCCTATCCCCGCCCCTGCCCAGCACCCTTTCAGCTGTGGCCCTAGGCCCTGGCGCTGCCTTAGTCTCCGCTCCAGCCCAGGCCCCGGGCTCCTCCTTTTGCCTTTGCCCTCACCCTGGTCCCTCCCTTCCCCCAGCATTCTTCTCAGTGAACCCCATCCTCCTGTGGTGACTCCCCAGGCTGCCCTCTGTGGAGGCCCTGGCTCTGACGGAATGGAGGCCTTTGTTGGGGGAAGGCCTGGACAGCTAGTTGGGGCATCAGGGGTGGGCAGCAGGCCCAGATCCCCCAAAGGCCACAGGCCCACAGACTCCAACCGCAGTTACCAGGGCCAAGCCATAAGGCAGGGGCAGGTCCCAGGTTGAGGACCTGAAGCCTCCTTCACCTTGCCCTCTCCCCTGCCCTGGGCCAGGTGTGGTTCTGAGCCATGGGCAGAGCTGAGCCCATAACGGGTTGCTGAGTGCCTTCACTGGGGAAGGGCACAAGCTCTAGCCGCCCACTCTCAGGTAGAAGGAGGTAACAGGGACACGCCAATGGAATCTGGGGAGCCCATCAAGTAGGGGTCTTAAGAATGACCAGCCTGAAAGAAAGGACAAAAAGTAGCTCGAGTCCCCCCTGGGGTCACCGATGCCTCTCCCCCTTGTCTTTGGGAACTGAACCAAGGAGGCAGGCGTAGGCCACGGAGAAAGTGGCTCTTTACCCACAGGTGGGTCCTGCAATGGACAGAGACCAGCATTATGATGTCACGGACCTGTGGCCATGGCTTTGAGCTCCTGGAGCCTTGAGGGAGTCAGCTGGGCCCCCTCTTCCTTCCACACGCTGCTTGTATCCCAGAGTCATGCTCAGGGCTGGAAAGGCCCACCACGAAGCCTTGCCCCTTCTCTCCCTGCTCCGACCCCTGTGCTGCGGCTGGTCCAGCAGATAGCCAATGAATGTCAGGCTTAGGGAGATGTTCTTCTCCTTTGGGCCATAACTGGGAACAAGACTTGGGCAGATGGTCCAGGAGCTATTCACAAGGCCTCATGGAAACTACCTGTTACCTAGGCCGCCTTCCCTGCCTGACCATGAGCTCATTCAAAGTGTCTGTCTCAGCCTCCACTCCCCTTTGATGAACTCTCCACACGCTTAGAATATGTGATGTCACTGAAGGCATAAATGGGTGAGGGCGGGTGGATAGGAGAGGCCACCAAGGTGTCCCCGCCCTGTGCACACTGTCTTCTGAGTCAGACCCAGCCCTGACCCTGGGACTCTCTCCGGCACCTGTTGGAAGACCCCCGACGTCGGGTTCAACAAGCCTCAAGTTCAGATCCAGCCCCGCTGTGTGTCCCTGAGCTGGTCACAGACCCCTTCTGAGCCTCTGTTTCCTTTTCCACGAACTGGGAATGTGACTGCCTTCTGGGGGGCCATTGGGAAGGCTGGGAGAGAGAGTGCTGACCAGTCTTCCCACCTAGCCCACGTGACCCTCATCCTCCTGTGCAGCCAGAGTGGTGAGGGGCGATGCTGGTGGCCGTGGACACCAGCCAGGGGGCTGGCCCGAGCGTTGCCAGTGACAAGGATGGGGACCTGCAGGGGCTGCTGCAGGAACTCGGCCAGCTCCAGGCGAAGTACGAGAGGTCTCAGGCCCCACTGGGCCCCGGCCCCATGCACAGCAGCGCCGACACTGGGCTAGGTGGCTGGGGCTGGGCAAACAGCAGGGCCAGGCAGGGAAGGGACAAGGTGGGGAGCAATCCCTGGAAACAGGAGGGGCATCAGTAGGGAGGGGGTGGGGGCTTGGCTGGTCCTTCGAGCTCAGATCTTGGGCCCTCCCAGGCTCACTCTGGGCTTAGTCTCCCATCCCGGGAGCAGGGCTGTGGGGAGTCATCCCCTACACCTGTCAGTTCATCCCTCTCAAGTCAACCAATGAAGCTGTCAGCTCCCCCCGCACCCCCGCCTCATGGGGAGACCCTGGTCCTCACCCCCGGGGCTTTTATGGGGCAGCCCATCAGTTTCGGGCTGCCCCATGAAAGCCTGAATCAGATGCAAAGGATGTGGCCGTGAGCGAGTTTGTGGAGCAAAGTTCCAAGCCTCCCATCAGATCCTGTCAGGGCTTCCCGACCCCACTAAGGTTTAGCCCCACGGTGTGCAGGGTCCACACGGTATGTGTAGGGAAAGATGGCTTTTCCCTGCCTTTTCCGGGACCGTATGGATGAGAAAGTGAGGCCGGAGAGGCGGAGAGGCCTGCCCTGGGTCCCCGAGCAGTCATTCAGAGAGGCCACCGCAGTCCCTGGAAGAGCTGCCTCTGACTGGGGCAGGTCCCACTCTGCCTCTGCCCTTGACCACTGACCTCGACTGGGCAAAGAGCAGGCGACAGACTGGAGACTCAGCTTGCTCAGGGGCTCGCCTGAGTCAAGCATGGCTGGGCGGTGGCACATGGTTGTCTCCCCTCTGGGGGTGCTGGGGTCCCCAGTCTCTCCTTGCTATGTGCTGGGGGCCCCACACATGGTCCCAGCCAGCCTGGGCAGGGGGCAGGGAGGGCTGACGTTACTGTAGCTACAGATGGGCTAGCGAAGCACAGAGCAGAAGCTCCTGGCTAGGTCACCAGCTGGTGGCTGTGGGGAGAGGGGGACTCAGACCAGCCTCTAAGGGAGGATCCGTAGGAACCCATCCCACACCAGAAAGACTGGACTCCCCTCTCCCTGGTACTCCTTCCTCACGCGCTATCATGGCAGTTCTTTGAACTGCCTGTGGCTCAGTTTCTCATCAGGACATGGGGTGGGGAGGCTTAAGTCAGCGGCCCACTGATGGGGGTGGGGGTGGCGGGCCCGTCCAGTGCAGGTCTGAGCCAGAGATCCACGCAGAATGGCCTTGCAGGAGGTCATGACCTCGGGGACTCTAAACCATGTCTTGCTGCCCCTGAAATGTCTCTGCAGGCAGAGGAAGCTGAAGAGAGAGGTCGAGAAACACAAGCTTTTTGAAGACTATCTGATTAAGGTCCTTGAGATAATCCCTAAGGGTATGTATGCCGGTTCGGTTCGTCTCGGCTGCCACCTCCCAGCCTTGGGACTAGGGCGCGTTGTGAGACTTGACCTCATCTGCAGAAGGAGGACCCACAAAAGCCAATGCCACAGGGGTCCGAAAGGGGACAGGTGCCGAGCAAGCCTGCCTGTGAACCCTGGTGCCACCAGAGCCACTGGTGTGGCCCGCGGAAGTTCTCGGAGGTCCTTGTCTTTTCTTTCCTTCCTCCCTTCCTCCTTACCTACCTACCTTCCTTCCTTCCTTCCTTCCTTTTTAAATATTTTATATATTTGATAGAGAAGGAGAGAGCACAAGCAGGGGGAGAAGCAGGAGAGGGAGAAGCAGGCTCTTCGCAGAGCAGGGCTCGATCCCAGGACCTTGGCATCATGATCTGAGCAGAAGGCAGTCGCTTAACTGACTGAGCCCCCCAGGTGGTCCCCAAGCTCCTGGTTTCTTGATCTGTACAAGGGGAACAGCACCCATTATGCAGATTGGATGAACTCATCCTTCATGAGCCTGTAGCCCAGTGCCCGAATTCAGCTAACACCCAGTCCATGTTAGCTAGGATTGCTATTATTTTGTGTGCCTTTGGTTTTGTGTTTTTGTTTGTTTGTTTGTTTTGCTATTATCAGCTAAAATTACACAGACACCAGAAATGGCCTTTGTGTTTTGTTTTATCGCAATTAGTACCAGAGCCTGTTGTTGTCAGTGCCAGAAGCTTGTTAGGAAAGGGAAGGCAATCAAACGTGTATTTTTATCATCATTATCTCAACATCATCAATAATAAGAATAATTCTTACCATTTATTAACTATCACCATTTACTAATGACTATTAGCTAACTTTGTGCTCACCTCTTTGGAAAACTTTTTTACCCCTCTGTGTGAGCTTCTGAGAATTGTGTTACCTAGGCTCAGAGAGGTTAAGGAACGTGCCCAAAATGCCCAGCCAGGAAGTGGTGGGGCTGGGTCTCAGACTCTGGTCTGACTTCAGGGCCGCTGCACTGAATGCTGTGGAGCGACAAGAGGCCCCCCGCAAACTGTTCTGGATATCAGGGAAGGCTTCAAGGAAGAGGTGGCCTCTCATGGGGCTCCTGTGAGTTCAGCAACGGGGAACAGCATTGCAGGCAGAGGGAACAGCTTGAACGTAGGCTGGAGCCACAGCCCTGCAGGGTAAACTTGGGCGTGGTGCGTTCCAGTGTGTTGCAGCACCAGAACTTGGCAGGGGCTGCTGGGAGATGTGACTGGAAGGTTGAGTAGCACCAAAAAGTTTTGAGCACCAAGCCAAGGAGGGGTGAAGCCTCCAGGTCCTTGGAGACCATCTCCTGTCTCACTGGGGCTCCTGGCTCCAGAATCTGGGTTCTTGGTTGGTAGGGCACCTTTCAAATGTTAATGCATCTCTTGAACAGGCAGGCGGTGGGTGAGGGAGCTGGCCAGTTGCTGGACCCGTCCTGCTGTCCTGGGCTAAGACCCGCATGGGCTCTTCTGGCGCCTCTCATCTGTGGGTCTGCCACTGGAATTGCAGGGCCTCGGCAGAAGTCCCCCCTCCGACACATTGGTGGCATCGCCCCGGCAGGGGACAGGTGAGGGCTGGGCTCTCTGCACCTGCTCATCCCACCACTGCATTGTCTCCCTAGGCCACAATGAAGGGGAGGAGCGAGAGGGGACTGATGCGGCCCTGGTGGGGGCCATGGTGGAGCACTATGGGCAGCTCTTCACAATCAGCCAGGACATCCAGAAGCATCTGGAAGCCTTCTCCAAGATGAGCCAGGTCTTCCACCAGAGGCTGGAGTCTCTAGAGGAGAGCCACAGGGCTCTTATCCCGGTAACAGCTATCTGCAGCCTGGTCTGTTGCCCTTAGCCCATAGGACTGGGGGTAGAGGAGTCCCCCTTCCCTCTGCACCTCTGGGGGAAGGCTCGGAGCAGCGGTGGGCTGTTGGGAGGGTCTGGGTGGCACTGTCCCTCCAGAGCCTTGTTCTGGATCCCTTTCTCTCCCCTTCTGCTGGCTGACTCGGGGTCTTTCCTGAAGCTTGGCTTATGTTCAAAAGGTGTTCTTGGTGGGAGAAAAGACACAAATTCTAGACTCAAACAGACTGGGTTCCAATTACACGTCAGTCTCTGACTAGCTGCATGACCCTGGGCAAGGGTGGCCCCTCTCTGAGCTTCAGCTTCTCTATCTGTCAAATGGCGATGCGGTGCCCCAAGAAGTCACCTCTCTTTCCTTTTTGGTTAATCTTATAATAAACAGAACTTCAGCCAGGAGGTCCGGGCACTGCAGCCAGGAGAAAGTGCCCAGGCAAAGGCCTGGCTGGATGAATTTGCATCCTGGGGCCCGGGGGCTGGGAGGGGAAGGGGACCTGGATAGGAAGGCTGAAGGTGGGTTGATTCTTGCAAAGGACCATTGTGTGATGTTTGCAGAGAGTCTCTGCCCCCTAGTGGCCGCACTGAAAACCTACACCACCTTGCACCTTTTTACCCTCTGGAGAGCCAGACCCTTTAGGATTGGGCAGGACGGGGCTAGCCTCAGTTTACCTGCTTTATCTCATTTAAATCTCACGCCAGCACCTAGAGCTAAGTGCTTTAATTCCTAGGGCTGAGACAAGGGGAGATGAGTTAGGTGAGCATTCAGGTGCTGATTGGAGCCCATCTTTATGTAAAATTTTAGTATTTTGTCCATCGTGGATACTTTCTATGAACTTTGATTTTCTAAAAACATTGGATTAAGATATTATTTATCTTAATTTGTCTTCATTTTAAGCATACACTGAGTGTTCCTACACCACCTTAAATTTCGCATCTTAGACCCAGTTGCACTCTTGTGCTCACTTTCCATGGGAGGAAATTAAGATGCGGAGAAGCGAGGACACCTGCATATGTCCCGTGCCGAACTGAAGCCCCACGGGGCCTCGTCAGGGTGCAGCCAACACAGCAGGAGCAGGCTGGGCCACAGGAGGCCGTCCATGGCCTTGCTCCGCATGCCCTCCCAGCAGCCCCTGGGGCCGCAAGGACACAGACTCTTGGCTCTGGTTACTGGAGGAAAAGGGGCTCTGGGGGCCATGAGTCAACATTCAAACCTCAGTCAGCCTGGACAGGCCTTTTCGGGCCTTTCCTGGTACCTTGAACAGCTGGGAGGCCCAGAGCTTTCCCCTCCACCCGCCCCCATCCCGGCTCAGCACCCCCCTCCCCCACACCCCTTCCCCCCTGCCGGGGCTGTGAGCACCTCTGGACCAGTCCCAGGGCAGACACCCCAGCAGAGTTTGCTGCACCGGGTGACACGCCTCTCCCATCACAGAGCCTCAAGATTCGGCTGTGTCAGCTGCAGAAGCGGTGTCATCATGAGTGGAAGTTGTGGGGGTTGGGACACCGTGTTGCCTCCCAGAAGGACATGGACAGCTATAATGTGAGTCTGATCTGCGGGATGGGGGTGAGGGCAGGGCTGGGGGCTGCTGTCTCCTCAGTAAGCATCACCCCCCACAAACTCACACCCCCCACCCTCACTCTCCCCCCGCCCACACACCCTCACACCCCTGACAAGAACCAGAACTGGGATCCCCAGCCCAGTTCCAGGGCTTGGCATAAGCTGGGTGCTTGCCCAGTCCTTCTGTAATGCCTGTGGTTAATAACAGAACAGTGGCATTTAAGTGAGTGGTTACTAGGCACTATCTTCAGTAATTCCTATGTCTCCATGGTTGTTCCAGGCAGTGCTTAGCCCCCTAACCCAGGACAGACCTCATCCGGGACAGGCACTCCTAAATGTTGGCGGATTCTTACCTGTGTCTATTTCACAGATAAGAAAAAGTAATGTTTAGAAAGAGTAAGTCATGGCCACGACATGTCCACGACCAGGGGCCAGGATTTCTGGGCTTAAGCCTTTGAGCTATTCCTTCCTGGCCTTTGGAATGGGGACTGGTTAACCTCTGGCCCCTGGTCCTCACTAAAACCAGAGCCTCTGACCTCTCAGCCGCAGGGGCTGCTGGGAAGACACCAGGACCAAGGCCTGCAGCACGCTCCACCCAGACACAGTGTGGCCAGCAAATGCAGGGCCTTCTCAGGCCCAAGGGGATCCTAATTTGGAAGACATGAGGGTTGGGATCTACACGTTGCTGACCTTCAGCCGAGGGGATTAGCGAGGGAGTAGATTGGCTACTGTTTATCGAGCCCTTTCTGGATCTTTCTCTTTAAGATGGAAAGCAAGGCCACCACGGCTGGCCACAGCCCTAAAGACCTTAAGTCTAGGATTCCGGGGCTGCCCAGAGTAAGGGGCTCCAGGTTCCCTCATGACCCTTCCCAGGCCCTGCCTCTGGTGTGGCCCGCAGGGGTCTCTAGCCAGGAGGACCCTCTGGGAAGTTGGTTCAATGTCCCTCATGGCAGGGGAGGATGCTCTGGCCCTGGAGTTGGGGGATGCAAGCAAGGCCCTCTGGGAGTGGGGCACAGAGCAGGCTGAGAAGGTGGCTTTTCCGCCTGAGTGAGTTGGGCATCGGGGGGCGGGGGGTGCTGGGAGAGGACCAGAACTTTGTCCTCCTCCACCTTCTCCTCCTGCAGAACCAGCTGCTCAACGACCTGCAAAGGATCATCAACAACATGGTCCGACAGTGCTCCTCCTCCGCCCACCGCTCCGCCTCCGCCCACCGCGCACCGGAGAGCATGGGCCTCTTCTCGAAGCTCGACCTGATTCAGGTGAGACCTCCCTGCTGCCCCAGGCTGGTGTCCAACCTCAGCCCCTCCTGAGCCACAGCTCATGGTGCATTCACGTTTAGCCCCCGTGAGCCCGTCCGTCTGTGGCTATGCAGGCTCCTGGGGCAGTGGGTCTTGGGGTGTCTGTTAGTCACTCAACAAACTTGGAATGAGCTCCCATTTGATGCAGGATTGGAGGCAGCTGTAACGGAACTCCTAGCTCTGCCTGGTCTTTCTTTGTGGCCCCACCCTGGCACGTGTCACACACACACACACACACACAGTCACACGGACGTTCATGTGCTCTCTACATGCCTAACGTTACACATGACACACCCGCAGACACAGAGATGCCCATGGGTGTGGTCACACATTCACACTCACATGCACTCTGGGAGGACACATTTCAATGACCAAGGGAGCCTCTTCTGTGGAAACCTCAGACTCTGGGTCAAGTCCCCAGAGCTTCCCCTTTATACTGACCCCCCCTCCCCGGGACCAGCCCCCCGCCCGCCAGATGCCGATGCTGCAGTACAGAGAGTGTGTCGGCAGACTGGCTTCTACTGACCACAGAGCACGTCTTCATTCTTTTCTTTTCTTTTCTTTTCTTTTCTTTTCTTAAAACTTTATTTATTTATTTGACAGACAGAGATCACAAGTAGGCAGAGAGGCAGGCAGAGGGTGGGGGGGGGGGAAGCAGGCTCCCCTCTGAGCAGAGAGCCCGATGTGGGGCTCCATCCCAGGACCCTGGGATCATGACCTGAGCCAAAGGCAGAGGCTTTAACCCACTGAGCCACCCAGGTGCCCCCTTTCTTTTCAATAATACCTTTACTGGGACACAATTCCCGTCATAACATCTTCCCTCTTAAAGCATACACTTTCAGGTTTTCAGTTCAGTCAGACCCTGGCAACCGTCACTGCTGTCCAGAAGAGTTCTTCACCCCAAAAAGATACATTCTGCATCTGGTTTCTTTCCCTTAGCATAATGATTTCAAGGTCGATCCCCATCATAGAACGAATCCATACTTCATTCCTTTATAGGGCTAGATAATACGCTGCTGTGTGGACCAGTGGATCCACTGATGGGCCTTTGGGTTGTTTCCGGGTTTTTCAGCTGTTGTTAATAACGCCGCTGTGAACATTCACATATGGGTTTTAGCATGGACATGTATGTTCCGTTATCTTGGCTAGATACCTCGGAGTGGAATTGCTGAGTCGTATGGTAACTGGATATTTAACATTTTGGGAAACTGCCAAACTGTTTTCCAGAGTGGCTGCGAGATCCCACGATCCCACGATCGGCGTGCGGGGGTTCCACTTCCTCCACATCCTGTCCACAGCCGGTGTGGTCTGTCTTTCGTAACTCAGCCATCCCACGGGGTGTGAAGTCGTATCTCACTGGGGTTTCGCTTCGCGAGCCACTGGCGACTGATGACGCTGAGTGTCTTACACGTGCTTATTGGCTGTTTAAATTCTTCTTTGAAGAATCATCCACTCAGATCCGTTGCCTATATGTAAATCGGATTCATTTGGGTTTTTTTAAATTGTTGCGTTCTAAGATATATTCTAGGTAGAAGTCCCTTATCAGATATATGTGTTTGCAAATATTTTCTCCCCTTCTGTGGGTTGTCTTTTCATTTGATAGTGTTCTTTGAAGAACAAGAGCTTTTAATTTGGATGAAATCCAGCTGAGCTATTTTCTTCCCTTGGGCTACTTGTCCTTACCACAGCACATCACATTGCAAAAACTATTATCCCAAGTCACGAAGATTTACACCTAAGCTTTCTAATAAGAAATGTATAGTTTTTGCTCTAACATTTAGGTTTATGATCCATTTTTAGTTAACTTGTGTATACGGTATGGGATATAGGGTCCGATTTCATTCTTTTGCATAAAGATGTTCCGTAGTCCCCATACCATCTATTGGGAAAAAAAATGCTATCTTTTCCCCTTGAACTGTCTCCTCTCCCTTGTCACAAATCAATTGCCTACAAACGTGAAGGTAAATTTCTGGACCCTCAATTCTATTGCATTGGTCTGGATGTCTATCCTATGCCAATATCACAGTGTCTCGATTACTGGAGCTTTGTAATGATTTGTAATTTTGAAATGAGGAGATGGGAATCCTCCAACTTTGCTCCTTTTTTGAGGTGGTTTGACTCTTCTAATGGGCATGTTTGGATCATGCGAAGCATCACCACGAAGCTCCGTGGCCGGGTGGGCTTCAGGCATGGTGTGACCCGAGGCTCCCTGGATCAGCCAGGACTCACCCTTTCCACGCTCTGCTGTGGGCCATCCTCAATACTGGCCTCATTCTAGGTCACAGCTAGATCTCCTTACTTGAGGCAGGCTCAGGGGGGACGTCCAAACACAAGATGCTCCTTTCCTCTGGAACGCCAAAGGGGCGAGTCCCTGCCCCGGGGTTGCCGTGGCAACAGCCCACAGTCGGAAAGCCTGCCTCTCTGTTGGAGGACTTCTCAGGAGCTCTCAGACAGCATCAGGGCTGCTCCGCGGCACGGCTCCAGGGACACCATTCACGTTGTTGGCATCCCCTGGGGCACAACTCATGTTATTCATATTCATGTTGTGATATGGTTTCGTTTTCAATAAGGGCACATTTGTCTAAATAGTCACACCGCGTTAATTTCATCTTCCTCCCGAGAAAAAGGAAGAAATTACACGGTGATGTCAGGGGGTGCCGGGGGTCTCCTGCAACAATCACTCAACCAAGACTTACTGAGTCGCCCACATGTGCTCAGCATTGTGCTAAGTAAAGAGCTGGAGGTGGAAGATCTTTAAGAAATGAATGCCTCTCAGAGAGGGAGCCTGGGGGCAGACAGGGTGGGCTTCCCGGAGGAAGCAGTGGAAAAGAGGCTAGCAACTGCAATCAGGAAGCCACAGCAGGACTTGGACTTTGCCAGCTTTGCCAGCCCTGGGCTGTGCAGCTCCAGGCAAGTCACTTAACCTCTCTGAGCCTCAGTTTGCACAGTGGCCAAGAGTCACTGATACCACCTCCTTTGCAGGGCACTTTGAGAGTTAATGGAAGTGTAGGTAGCCTCCGAGGGTGCTTTGGTCCTTGGGAAGGGGGTGCCAAAGCACTGGAAAGTGAGAGAAATTTCTTTTTCCTCCCAGGAATTCATGTTGGACAAAATGGAGACAGTGAAATTTATCTCACTGCTCATGGAACCCAGAGTATGCTGGTCAGGGGACCGTCTCAAGAACCCCAGAAGATACCGCAGCTCCTTCAGGAAATGCCCAAGGGATCAAGATTCGGTCCCCAGAACTCCCCTTCCAGGCACCCAGACTTCGGAGTGCTCCAGCTCGAGCTGAGCCAGCCAGAGGCCACACACGCCCCACCAGCATCAAGACCATCTTCCTTCCTGTCCAGCCTCTTTTTCTTACCACAGTGCCCCCGCCAATGGGGTGGGAGGGAGTCTGGGGGTGGGGGCACTGATCCCAGTCCTGGGGGATTAGCAGGCGTGGAGGCTGGGACTGGGGAAAAGAGAAGCGGGTTCCTGGGTTGGAAGCGGCAGTCAGGTGGGAGGTCCCGGGTTGGAGGCCACATGCTCACAGCCAGCAGCGGGTTTGTCTGAGAAGAACTTGGGATAGATGTCTAGCTTTTAGGAATATCCAAATCTCAGGAACTCTCCTACAGAGCCACCCAGGGCTGTAGGAGGCATGGGAGTTCGCCTCTTCCACAGCTGATTGGGGAGCATGGCAGACTGGGGAGCACAGCAGACTGGGGCTACTGGGTTTGTCTCTTGGGGGCATCTCATCACTGGTTCTCAGAAGCTGGATACCAAGTCAGACCTCCCGCCTTCCCGAGGGTCCCAGAGCTGCCTGGAACGAATGCTGCTCCCAGAGACAACTTGACCAGGCAAAGCCCCTCTCCAGGCTGCTTTGCCACCTGCAAGATTGGGTGAGAGTGTGTCTAAGGGAGACCCCTCCCCAGTCTGGCATTCTTAGACCAGGGCCGGGATAGCTTGGTCTACCTGGAAGGCCCTGGTTTGGTTTTATTGTGTCACGGCGTGGAATCCTCCTAGCAACCCTACAGCCCTGGAAAGAATTCACCTCCAGAGGTCTGCATCAGTCTATCGGTTTGGGTAAAAGTTGACGGTCAAGAGCAACCTGCGAGCTGCGAACAGTGGTCCGCAAACTAACTCTCAGAGTTTCAGAAAAGATGCTGCTGTGCGGTCAACAAACACCCGAGGGTCGCTATTTTCCAGAGGGGACAGGAGAGGGGACAGGAGGCTCTGAGGGAGGGAAGGTGGGAGCGTGAGAAGGATTTGGCTGCAGAATCAGTGAAAGAAGTTCCATACCCTCGTACCCTCGGGCTGAGTGTGGTCGCGTCCCTACAAGCAGTTTAAACAAAGAAGAAACGAGGCGGGAGCATGCTTTTGGTCGGGCTTGAGTTGGGTTTGAGAAGGCCAAGGTCATGGGAAGGCTCAGAAGCAGAAGGGAACACGAGGGGAGGAGCTTTCAGTTCTGGTGAGAACATGGACTGCAGGACCCTCATGGGTCCACAGGCCGGGCTACGAGGTTTGGACTTGGGTCGGGAGGCCACACATAGGGATGTCCTAGTCCTCCTGGGTGGCTATCCCAGGAGCCCAGACTGGGGCCTTAAAACAACAGACATTTATTTCTCACACTTGGGGAGACCGACGGTCTGGTGAGCATCTGCTTCCGGTTCATAGACAGCCGTCTTCTCCTTGTGCCCTCATGTGGTGGGCAACACAGCTCTGTGGGCTCATTCTTATCAGGGCACTAATCCCACTCGTGGAGGATCTGCTCTCGTGACCTCCGCCCCTCCCCGAGGCCTCTCCTCCTAAGACACTGGGGGTTAGGATTTTACCATGTGAATCTGGGGTGGGAGGACTCATTCCATCCCTTGCAAGGAGCCTCTCACATTCTTAATGTTTCTCAGTTCTTCTTGCCATGACATCGGCTTTCCAGAGAGATCTAAAGTGACCCATCACTCTCCCTGTATTGTGGACACACGCCAGCCCAGTGATTCTTAGATTCGAACCATCCTCAGGAAGGCTTGTGAAAACAGAGTGTGGCCGCCCAGAGGTTCTGATGGCACAATCTGGGGTCTTAGAGGCCTTAGAATTTGCGTGTCTAATATGCCCCCAAGAGAGGCGGATGCCGCAGGGCCCAGGGCCACAGTTTGGGAACCGCTGCTTTAGAATAATGGCAAATTCTCAATGCCTAGCCTGGCTCTGCTCCTCCTGGAGCACCAGCTCCCCCTGGCCAGACTTCAGTGTCCCCTCGGCATGATGGGGCTGCGTGACAGTCCCCACCCTGTCTAACCTCCTGGTAGGGACTGGACATACACCCTTCTATATGCCCAGGGCATGGTTCTCTGGCTTCCTGGCTTTGCCTGTGAGGGCCCACGGGGGAAGGGGGCTCTTGTCCGCCTGTCCCCTGCCATTTGCATGCTGGGCACCGGTCATGCATTTGTAGGTCTGTTCCTGGTGTTCTGTCACACTCCTCAGGGAGGACGACGATCAGAACATATGCCTGGGGTGGCAGGGGCCTGGGCATCAGTCCACATTTGCAATGGGCAGCTCAATGTTTTAGGAGCTCCCAGCCTTCCCCATGAGGGGCTTGGGTCACGAAATCAACAGAAGGGGCGCTGGGCTCAGCGGTGCTTCTGCAGGCATGTCCTGCAACACCGGGGTTCGTGCTTTCTGGGCTTCCATGTCCAACAGCTGTCTCAGCCCCAACCTCATACATTTTCAAATGCTTTCTCTTGGGTCCCATGTTAGCTGCAAAGAGACCTTCAAGTGCATTTGGAGAAAAAAGCAGGAGTTTGAGTTCCTTATGAAATGTCACTTCATTTGACTGCCCGTTTAGACCCTGAGACCCCAAGACACCAGGTGGCCCAGGGCTTGGACACTCTGTGAGACCGTGAGCTCATTATCTGCCAACGGACTTCAGCTTTAAGTAACTCCCAGTGTGAGAAAATTCTTCCTACAGACCATCCTGGGAAAGTTGTGTTATTGACAAGTGGCTGGTGCTGAAGAAATTGGCTGTGTGATGGGAAAATAAAATTATGTCCTCTTTTTAGACCATATACAGTAGGACATTCCAGTTCCATTGAGTGGTTGCTTTCCAACTTCCATGTTCCTTAAAACCACCATGACACTTGCTAACCATGGAGATACCTAGAGCCTGTTTTCAGAGATGCTGATTCTGGGTGGGGGGCCCAGGAATCTGCATTCTTAGTAAGAACTGGGGCAGTTGCAATGAGAGGGCTCTCCCACATCAGGGTAAGAAATACTGGGTGTGTAAATGTCAAAAAAAAAAAAAAAAGGAAGAAAATCTGGTCTTTGTTGACCTGCTCTTTAGTCAGGAAGCACGAAAGCCACAGAAGGGAAACCTGAAAATAATCTGACTTCATAAAAATTAAAAATGTGGGGCGCCTGGGTGGCTCAGTGGGTTGAGCCTCTGCCTTCGGCCCAGGTTATGATCTCGGGGTCCCGGGATGGAGCCCCACATCGGGCTCTCTGCTCAGCGGGGAGCCTGCCTTCCCCCTCCTCTGCCTGCCTCTCTGCCTACTTGTGATCTGTCTGTCAAATAAATAAATAAAATCTTTAAAAAAATTAAAAATGCATCTACCTTGGAACACATCAAAATAGCTGAAGACAATAAACTGGGGGGAAATGATGCTACATCTGGAAAAGGATCAATGATTTTGATATTTAAAGAGCACTCACAAAGTAAGAAAAAGACAATTGTTCATATTCAGAAAATCACAAAATAAAAATGGCCTATAAACATGAAACATTGGGGTGCCTGGGTGGCTCAGTGGGTTAAGCCTCTGCCTTCGGCTTGGGTCATGATCCCAGGGTCCTGGGATCGAGCCCCACGTCGGGCTCTCTGCTCAGCAGAGAACCTGCTTCCCCCTCTCTCTCTGCCTGCCTCTCTGCCTACTTGTGATCTCTGTCTGTCAAATAAATAAAATCTTAAAAAAAAATGAAACACTTTTCACCTCACTAAAAATAAGATTAAATCACATAATTTCTGCCCATAAGAAAAAATTAAGGTAATACGCTAATGCTTATAAGATAGGCTAGTGTCTAAACCTTTACACTGTTTGCATAAACTTTCTGGAAAGCAATTCGACTGGAGGTCTCAAGGGGCTTAAAAAAATGTTTATGTCCTTTGGCTCCATAATTCCAAGCCAAGAAATTTAATCTAAAAAAAAACAAAAAACAGAGCTATTTGGTTCAAAATTGACAGAGAGCCCAACTCAACTTCACTTAAGCCAAAAAGGGAATGCACTGGCTTATAAAAGTGAAAGTCCAAGGACTCTAGCTTCAGGCACAGCTTGATCAGGGGCTCAAAGTCGACAGAATTCTGTCTCTGGGCTCTGTTCTACCTCTTGGCTTCATTCTCCGGTTCCAGGTAAACAACCCCGGCTCCGCATTCTCCAAAGCGGAGGTCAGAGGAAGAACGAGAGAAGGCCCCTTCACAGTAAGTCCCAGGGCAAGTCCCAGGGTTCACTCTGATTGGCTCGTCTTGGGTCAGGTGTCTCTCTATAAACAAATCCCTGATTGGCCAGGCTTGGGCGAGGCATCCAATCCTCAACTAATCTCTGTAACTAGGGGAGATCCATCCTCTGATTGGCCAGGCTTGGGTCAAATTTTTGAGTTTAAGGGAGGTGGCGCATCATTTATGACTAGATTCCGTCCTCTGGAGCGGGTGCTAATGCGTTATAAACTACATGGGCTGAAAGAAGGGGACATGTGGCTCGCCCGAAGGGACACCAGGCCACTGTGATCACCGGGAGGTGGGACCCGACACTGGGCGGGCAAAACCCAGAAACGCCTGTTACAGGTGCCCGCGGAGTGTTTAGACCAAGACGTCCATCGCGTCGTTACTTGAAGTACCCGAACTGCACACGACCTCAGTATCTCAGAGGAAGAGTTCAGCCAATAATGCCCAAACGTCGTGATTTTGTAATTCTGCAGCCATTGTTACGTGTTTTCAAACATAGTATAAGGATGAATATAGGATGTAAAGTTCAGTGGGGGGAAAAATGGAGGGATTTAAAAAATAGAATCTAAGCCCATTCGGTAAAAAAATTCTATAGGGATCTAAAAAAATAGAATCCAAGCCAAATTTGGTTAAAGTCCTCTGTATAAAAGAGTGGAAGGATATGTACTAAACTAGTGCTTCTGAGCGGGAGCGTCATGGCCCTCGGGAGGAGGGGGCGTTAATATCCACCCAGTGCAAGACATCGAGTCAGGGGTCCAGGTGTCCCCTCCCCCGCGGCGGTGTCTACTTCCACGGGCTTGCCAGAGGCGCATGGTGCGCCGGGGACTCCT